GAGAAGGTTCCCCGAGCAGACCAGTTGCAATGAAATTAAGGTCGAGCTGCTGGTGCCAAAGTTTGTTTATCTCTTTCAGACACGGCGTTGGCTTATGGTATCTCTTCAAAGTGGTAACATTTTGGTGACCCCTATCTCTGCATAAATCCACATTTTGTCCTTTTTGACAAGACCTTTTGCATCATTATGCCTTACAGCATTTTAGCCATCCACGTGTTTCTGGAAGCTCGACATAGGTCCACGGTTATGGTCCATTCCTGAGCTGACGAGGCGTCATCGCGGCCATCTTTCACACCTCCTAAGTGATATTCGGTCCCATTCGAGCGCCCAACGCATCTCACAAGAATTTGCAAAAATGACGGAGACCCTCTCTTTCTATTTGTCTAGATTGCAGTAAGGAGACTATCAGAACAACCTATTTCAGCAGCAACTGATTGCATCCGTCCGAGACGTAAGGAATATGCTTATTTTGTTATCTCAAGAGTCAACGAAAGTTGGCTGCTCAAGTTAGCAGCTTCGCTGTGACTTCTCGTTGATGCAACCTCGCATCAACCTAGCTCCAATGTGACTGTTTGTTTTGGTTTGTTCGCTTCGCCTTTGGCAGACTCATTTTCCTCCATTTGACTACCCCTCTTCTGACTTTCCTTCATTCTGGTGTGATGTTGGTTGGAAGGCATCCTTAACTTGGCCTAAGCGGAAAACCGAATAATTACAGACTTATTTTGCAGTGGAGTCTGTTGGGTTATGTAAAGAAAAATTCCCACATCACCATCCTGCGACTCAAAGTTGGTAATCCTTCTTCAGTTTCCGGTGAAACGACTTTACGAGTCATCTCCAACTAAGTTTCATTTTAAAATGAAGAATCGAGTCAGACCAGATGATTAGAAGATTCTTCAAAACCCATTTTTTATTCAGATATTGTTATCAAGCCCTCCCTACTTCTGCTACCATTTCTGCATTTGTCTGTATCATGAGTAACTTTTATCTCATTTCCATAATTCACTTTTTCAACGCTGACAAGAACAATAATAGACTACAATAAGAATTTGGTCCTCTGTAGACCTAAAGTCAGTTTCTCCCTAAACTACTATGCCTTTTTAAGTGGATTAGTAGACGACTTTGGATAGATAGGCTTGTTAAGAGTGGCCAGGCTTCTAGAGATTTACGCACACTAACCTGTATCCATTACTTTCCTTTATGGTACACTATTACTCGATTTAACTTGAAAAACTCTTCTTCCATTCCTTTTATAGTATAAATATCGAGCATATACACATTAGCTTAAAAGCGAAAACATTAACGCTTTGCGAAGCAAATACGAATAAGCTGAGGTAGGTTAGAGGCCGTGGTTACTTAGTGATACCTTTACTGAAATTCTGTTCGTTATTCCTTGAATTTCGTTTAAGGTGTTGAAGGAATGACTGCTGAATTCTCCCACAATCATGAGTATGCCTCACATTTTCACTCGATTGGAAGCGACTCCATTTTTAACTCGCATGAATTTGTCTCAGCACCACCCACAGCAGTACTCAAACCCGAGTTGTGATAGTCCAGCGTATAGATTCGACATGTTTACGACTAATCCAGACTGCCGTGAGTGCCCTTGTGTCACAAGGCATACGTGAATCTTATGTAAGGCTATTTCTGTACTTAGATTGCCGACGAGATAAAATTTATCTGCTATTATAATCGACCACACTACTTATTTTCCTTTGTAAGTAGGCCCTTCATCATTTCAAGGGAAATTAAACGAATGCATAGGAATGTAGAAAAGCTGGTTTTTGAACAATCCCTTAACAGATTGAGGCTGGAGTATCTTTCATTTCGTTTGAAGAGGCAAGTGGAACGTATTCGAAAGTTGAAAGGCGATTTCCGCGAATAGGTCTTTGGCTCACCGTTTTGTAACCCCGATGAATCCTTGCTGAGCTTTCGTCCGTTGCGACGGACATGTTTAGAACAGGACATACATTATGATAATTCGCCAAAACAAGGCAAGGTGGCCGACTGCAATTCTACATACTTCTGGTAGCCTAACCTTGTCCACTTTATGAGACTTCTCATGATTTTTTTGGGTGTCCTATGCTCTG